AAAAAAAAAAGGAAGACAAGTCGCGGGTGTTCAAGGGCCTTCTGTTTTCTTTTTTTTTTCTTTTTTCTTTTTTCTTTTTTTCTTTTTCTTTTCATGTCGAGGACTCTTAAGAGAGGACGGGGGACGAGGGTGTGTACGTTTAAAAAAAGAAAAGTTATGCATGTTGGATGCATGAATTGGCCGGGGTGGAAGAGAGAGAGAGAGAGAGAGAGAGAGAGAGAGAGAGAGAGAGAGAGAGAGAGAGAGAGAGAGAGAGAGAGAGTACACAAGCTGCATAGTACTTGGTGCTTTCCTTGAGGCGCTACCTTCCGCTTCCGATGCGTGTGTGTGCCACCCTTGCTTGTTTCGTTTTGTTTTCATGATTGACTGCTTCATTCCTTTCCCCGTCGTTTTTTCCTAAGGTTTGGAAAGACTCTTTGTTTTTCTCTTTCTTTTCAAATTGTTCTTTTTCTTTTTTTGCGGGTTCATAAAAGTAAGCTACATTCTTCTCTCAATGTCACCTCACATGCATCTCTCTCTCTCTCTCTCTCTCTCTCTCTCTCTCTCTCTCTCTCTCTCTCTCTCTCTCTCTCTCTCTCCCCCCTCCCCCCCACCCCGTGCACACCCAGACATAGGGTTTGTAGTGTATGACTGAGGAACAGAGAGCAATCTCTGGTGCATCTTCCCTCAGTTGGCCCTCCCTTTCTCCATCCACCCATGCATGCATCCAACATGCATAGACTTTTCTCTTTTTTTAACGTACACACCCTCGTCCCCCGTCCTCCTGAATTGATATTCGTTTATATGTATTTTAAATAATTTTATTGAATTATTCGTAGATATTTATTTTATATAAATGTATTTAATGTTTCTGTATATATATATATATGTTACAGGATGATGCATTTTCTGTCATTGTGTGCATGATCCTGTGCGTACATTTTTTTCTCTGGCGGCACCCAATGATCTCCCCTTTTCCGTTTTCTACCGTCCGCTCATGGACGTGCCAGACGTGGTATGCATACTTGTTCAAACACATGCGTTTCTTTTTTCTTTGTTTCCAGATACATACGTGCTTTGTTTGTATAAATAAAAACTATATATATCGTCAAACAGAGCTGCCCAGTAAACCGGAGGCAGAGAGGGAGAAGAGGACAACAAACGAGGGACTGTGAGAATCTGTTTCGTCGGCGTTTCACCGACTCATCGGGAGGCTGAACCATATTGTGACGATATATATATAACATATATATATTGTCACACTGTGAATCGGAGCGCAAAGGCGGAACAATATGTACCATATATATCGTCACAAAGTTATCAGATATATATATATTCACAAAGATATCAGAGCGCAAAAGCCAAAAAAACAAGAAAAAATCAATTCATTTTTTATCTTCTTACTTACACTCCCCCTGTTGAAAACCTCTTTATATTTTTATATATAGTCAAACAGAGCTGCCCGATAAACCGTAGGCAGAGGACAACAAGCGAGGGGCTGTGACAAACTCTTTCGTCGCAGTTTCAGCGACTCATATATATGGTTGGTGGTCCCCACCACCTCAGGGTATCAGTTGTCGCGCAGTCGTTGATGCTGAACCACAACCAACCGGGGTTAAGGTGGATTATCACTTACAGTGTAATCAGTCAGTTAGGCGATTCTGCAGACTGTTTTTTTGAGGGTTCAGCCTCCTCCTGATGAGTAGGTAGGTGAAACTCCGACGAAACAGTTTGTCACATCAGCCCCTCGTTTGTTGTCCTCTTCTCCCTTTCTCCCTCTCCTCTGCCTACCGTTTACCGTAGGCAGCTCTGTTTGACTATATATATATATCGTCAAAAAGATATCAGATCGTAAAAGCGAAAAAAAAAAAAAAAAAACAATTCATTTTTTATCTTCTTACTTACAAGTTACAACTATATATCTTCACATAGATATCAGAGCGCAAAAACGAAAAAAAAAAAAAAAAAAAAAAAAAAAAATCAATTCATGTTTCATCTTCTTACTTACAACTCCCCCTGTTCAGAACCTCTTGCGTACAAGGCCGCCCACGTGGATGGATGTATATCCTATTTGTTGTCCCTCGTTTGTTGTCCTCTTCTCTCTCTCTGCCGACGGTTTACCGGGCAGTTCTGTTTGTGACGATATATACTACGACTTCGCTAGCTTCCTGCTACGGTTTTTTCCGGTCAGGTCGAGCGGCAGTGGTCGGGGCCGTTACTAGGCAGCCATGCTGTGCCTCTAGTGCCAGCGGCGTGTCTGGAGTGTATTTTTTGGCTGTGACAGACCTTTCTTTGTTTCGTGGATGTTTTGCTGGCTTGTGATGGGGTGTGAACCGACAGTCTGTAG